CATAAATCATGGATTCTAAATTTTGAAAATAATTTTTTCGGGATGTACAAGTATAGAAGGTGCCAACTCAAGATATTACCTTAATGGACTGAAATAAACTAAAAACCATTGTCCGATGATTCTATTGTCCAAAAAATATAATGGTTTTTCAACAAAACTGTTACCATTGAATAGAATAAACTTAAAAGGTGTGCACTGAACTTACTAAATCAATTTGACGGAAAATAAGTTAACTAAAGTGGACACAAGTTTAGTAAAAATAAATGTTCATTATCTACTATAAACGTTAGAGAAATTCAAATAAAAATATATGCAATTTATAATCTATGTTTATTAGGTTATTTCTTTTACATTTTTTTTTTATTAGTTTATGTAATGAAAAATAACCAAAAACTTTTAGTTTTAGACTTTTTTTTTATAAAAATTTGAAATTGTTTGTTAACTGGTTAATATTATATAATTTAAACTATAAATACTGCGTTTTTCCATTTTATTTTTTTTTTATTTGGTAAAATGAGTTTAAATCCTAAAACGTATATCCGTATCTCCATAGTTGAATTTTTTCTTTTTCGAGTATTAAAAAAGAAATTACAAACAAAATGCTAACATTTCAAATCTAAAAAAAAAAAATGTTTTTTTTTTAAAACTCACATAATTATTAAATGTTGAAAACATCAAAATGAATATATTATAATAGTTCTAATATTATGTGTTTATAATATGGCTTATAATAATAACCATATTTTTGAAAATATTTGAATGTTGTCAATGGTAATTTTATTTACTTCGATAAATTTAAACATTTAAAACATTTATAGTATAAATAATATAATAATTTTTATGAATAATTTAACTGTTTATTAATCGCTAAGTATAGAAATATTAATATTTAATAATTACACCGAATAATTTGTTTGCTTATATTTACGAATCAGCACGTCATATTTTTAATTTCATACACTAAAATAATATATTTTTCGAAGAGTATTTTAGTCTAAAAAAAATAATTTTTTGGAGAAATAGTTTACTATTTATAAGTCACTTATCTAAAATTCAACTTTTATACTTCCAAGTACCTACTCCGAAAATATACTGATTTGAAATAAGAAATTAAAAATGCATGTTGCCATTAAAAAAAACTTAAAAATCCATTAATTTAAAATGATTAAATAGTTAAACATGGTTTTTTGTGAAAATGTATTATTTTTAACATTATTAAATTATGTAAAAAACTAAATATTTTAAAAATTGTATTTATGTCTTATAAAGATATGAAGAATGAAATATTCAAAATTTATATATTTCTATTATCCCTGTGTCTGTTTAAGTATTTTTAATATTTCTTCTAAAATAAAATGATAATAAATTATTACTGAGCATTTTAGGTTTTATTATAAATGTTGTAGTAGTATATCTCTAAGATTTCAAATTTTGTAAAAGTTATTTGAAAATTATTATTGTCAACAAAATTATCTTGTTATATTATTAAAAGTGTTTTAATATTTTGAAAGCACAATTGTAGATCATATTATTTACTAAAATGTGTAAGTGGATAAAATTGACAGAAAATCTCTAGTCAGAAATAAATCAGTTTGTTTAAATTTATTTTATTTACATGGATGATAAATTCTGTTCAAATATGTTGGTATAAGTAAATATATGTTTTTTCTGAATAATTCCAATGAATTTCGCTTCAATTATCAGTAAAGCGTTTGTCGAGTTTCTATTGGCTAGAAGTTCAACTTTACCACATAACTACGAATTCCGTTCATGTACTTAGTACTAATAAAACTTTGAAATCAATGGTCCATATTATTGTGACTCTTATAACATATAATACTAATGAAATTTGTATCAATGAGTAAAGGTACCAAATTATTAATAGTGTTTACATTTTTCTATCTCTCTTATTTTTCTATTTTACTTTCTTTTATCGCTTTACTCTTCTAAAATGTATTAATTATAAACCATGTCGTAAAACTTATAAAAAATTTACACTCCAGACTAAGTATACTTATACAATAACAAAATAAAAAGATGCCTGTTTAAACACAGACCTTGATCATGATTTCAATTAAGCGAATTAATAAGTACTTTAATGTAGTTTTTGTGTAGCCAGTCGTAAGAGTGCAGTTTATGCAGCATAGCTACAGGCTACATCCGGCATTGCATTCACATTATAATAATATAAAAACAAGAAAAAACACAATATACAAACAATAAATATAAAGGTTATACTTCTATATGCTAATACTAAAAAATGTTGCCAAGTATTATATAATCATAAAAGTTACATCAAATAATAGTTCAGTATTCTATGTCTACTTTACACTTGTTTTTTGCTACTTTAATTTAAATTAAAAAAAACTGATCGATAATTAATTGTATTTTATCATTAGTATTATATTAATGGAACTTTATATACTATAAAAAATATTTTTAAATTTCTCGGAGGTATAAATGTTATATATATTTATTTAACGTTTTTACTTAATTATTTTTTTTTTTTTTTTTGTTTAAGTACCGGTACTTGGTTGTTATATTTTTAAATTTCACTAAATTAAAATGTAATAATTTAACATAAATTATTATTATTTTATAAAATGAAAATTTTGAGTTTTTCCATTTTTTTCTGACACGTAATTTTTACCATAAAGTCTTGTTAAAACAATACTTATTAATGCAGTAGAGTGCCTTGGGTGATGATAAACTGGACGTTTCATTCATGTAGAAAGTATATTATAAAAAAATAAAAATATATTTATATAATTTTTAACCCTTTGAGCAAAGAAAAACTCGAAACTTAATGATAATAATTTAAAGGATTCAAAAAATTATCCATTACTTACTATAGTATACATTCTTTTATATACGCCTGGAGTAAGAGTTTGTGACCGCCTATGACATCACGTCTATAAATTATGTCATTCTCGATAATATGTCATTGGGCACAGTACACAAGCACAAAATAGTATCCGCATATTAATAACGTTAAGCTTTATAAAAATAATTAAAAACTCGCGATTAAATGTAGTTAGGTATCTTACACCAATTATGGTAAATAAGGCTATCTGATTTTTTTTTTTATTCTCTCAACTGTTTTTATCAGTAAGAGATTTTCATTTATTATTTTTCTTAAAAATATTTTTACAAAATATAAGTTCATGAAGTTTTCTAAAAAATAAAAACTCCTTGTAAAAAAAACACAAAATAATTGTTTTTATTTATTACAACAATAGTATTCGATTTACTATCATTACCGCATCGGTTTTAATACGCTAAAGGCTGTTTTTGCCTTTATGTATATATTATCATAAAAAAGCAATACCTGCAGCACATACGATTCAACAAAGGCGACAATAGAAACGGTTGGAGATTTTGAGATAAACGCACGTGGTTTATACACCTCGTTAATATAATATTATGGTATAATATAATCATTATAATAATTTTGAACGTAATAGAAATCAGTTTATTTTTTTCGTTCGTTAAATTTCGTGATATGACATCGTTATCGATTCAATAAACAATAAAATAATATTAAATTGCAATAATAATTGTCAATATATAACTCAATTTCAAAAACGTGATTTTATTGAATAGATATTTATAAAAAAAAAAATATTGATTCAAAGCACGACGAAATCGCATTTTAAATTATAACAACCCTCTCCCACACACACACACACACACACACACACACACACACACACACACATAAATCCATGCTTTAGGTATTCCGATTACAATATTATATTAGTTTAAATTCTCAATATAAAAGTACAAAATCCACCTAAATTAACTGATTTTGTACACTCTAAGAAGAGTAATACCTCTAATTAAATACAATTTTGGTGTTTTCTAACGATTTTTGTTTATACACATACTTATTTTCACTAATTACACATTATTTTTCTTTACCTCCATATACGCACACATATACACGAAATACATACAATATAAATATTAGATAAAATGCATAAATGAAATATCACGATGACGTGTACATTTACGTAATGAATATATATATATATATTATATAAATATTATACCGGCTACCCACAACCTAAAAACTGTAAATCCTTTGTATAAGCTAGGTATATCTTTTTGGTAAGAGACCAAAACTAAACTATAGTAGGAGCATGTCATATTTCGAGAATTTGAAATTTTAACACGTTTTAATTTAGAAAAAATGAAATAATTAATTTTTAGCATTTGATAATAAATCAATTATTTGTCATAAATATTAAATAAAATAATAATTTCTTTATATTTATGAATTATCAGTAATAATTTATCATATTTAAATACAATACAATTTTATTTAAATTAGGTTGACATTTGTGTCTTGTGTCAACTTAGCTTGAATAATCTTAATATTTTAGACATTTATAGTTTTTAAAACCTATTATCGTTAGATAATATTGTTACGATTCTGTATATCTAAATCGTACTCTGTCCTTTAGGTATGACACAATTCATATGCTGAGTGTGAGGAATGACGATAGTTATATTATTTTCAAATTACTCGTGTATATAATCGTAATAATAATTTAATTTCTGAAATACTTAAATTATATATTTATTGTACAGGTCATATAAATAATTACTCAAGTCGAGCATTTTAATGACACATAGGTGCAATCATTTAAATATTATTGAGTTGCTTGTTTTTATAGCTATTATAATTTATAAGAATATTGCAATTCAAAATCACTGAAGTCATAAATTATTAAAAAACCGTGGCACCAATCTTTCTTTCATAACACAATGTTTTTAAATTATTTAAAAAATCATATAGAAAACTTAAATATAAAATTTGATTCTATTTTTTACCACGTAGGTATCAATAATATTATATTATGAATAATGTGACTATTGACAACAATGACCGCATATGTATGGTTCGAGGTTGGGACGTGAACAAAAGTCGTAAATAACTCAATGGTGTAAAAAAAAATCCATAAATATATATTAATTTTTTTTTTTTTTTTTTGTAGTATCGAAAGCCAAAATCATCGGCAACACAGAAATGTATATCCGGAGTGGTAGTGACATAAATTTGACGTGCGTTGTTCTGGAAACGCCAGACCCACCCAGCTTCATCTATTGGTACCGAGATAGGGATGTCATTAACTATTCAGGACGCGGTGGCATTAGTGTAGTGACTGAGAAACAGACACGGACCAGCAGACTACTGATATCCAAGGCACAGCCACCCGACACTGGAAACTACACGTGTGCCCCATCTGCCTCAGATTCGGCAAGCGTTACCGTTCACGTCCTAAACGGTAACTATGTCTTAATATTTTATACTTAAGGTTTACCTGGTAAATATGACAAATTAAACTGTAATAATATTATACTTCAATATAAAAATTATCATATACTCCTGTATATATCTTTATTAATTATAAAACTATTTCATTTCAGTAAATATAATGCTATAAAAAAAATAATAATAATAATATTAAGTAAAAATAAAAATAACAATTATGAGTAATTTATCATACAATTACAATTTATTTTTAGTCATTACAAACATAATATTACCAAAGACAAATTAGGAGGGGGTCTGATAAGCGGAGCAAGCAAGGGATAAAGTCCTCAAGTATATTTTAATAAATTATAATATTATTACTACTATTATGATTTCAAATCAAATTATTTTTATTTACAAATTTCAGACGAATTACGCTCATGTTTTCGTAAATGAGTTAGTCTCTATTTCAGTCAGTACATTAATTCGTCTTAAATCTTTCATACTTAATTATGAGGTTGGTCAATAAAGAACAGTGATTTTTAAATTTTCAAGTTTATGTACGTTTTCCTGAAAAAAAAAAAACAATCTTATCAATTATTAATTATCATATTATAACGTCTGTATAAATAATGAAATAATAATAATAATAATAATATTATATTAAAAACTTGAACTCCAGTCTGCATTGCATTGTCAGCGGTCCATTATACAATCATAAATATTAAACCGATTTTAAACAAACAATAATAATAATAATAATACATTAAAAATTTAAATCATAGTTGATAATATTATTTAACTTAATAATCTTAATTGTATGGGTTCTAAAGATTTATTGTTTTTTTATAAATTTCCTATATAATATAATGATTGAACCAAGAAAAAAATGATATCACTGCATGCAGTTAATCAAAATGAAATACAATTTAAAAATATTCTTAAACAAATCTTTCTGGTTCTTAAAATTAACAAAATACTCATATAATGTGTAAAATTAAAATTTTTAGGAAGTCTAGAATTAATTTAAGCGTGTTAATTCCAATTACACTTATGCATTATAATAATATGCAATCAAAATTAATATCATGTTCGTATATAGATAATTTTTATTGTGACAAATTTATAATTTCAACTAATATGAACACTGCAGAAATTAAAAAAATTAATGGATTCAATAATTTGTGTGGCAATTAAAAAAAAAAAATCTTACTCAAAATAATATGTTTAATTCGGTGGTTGTTCGTGTATATTCAATGGACGCTTTCGGTTTGATTTATCCTCTTTCCGTACCCTAATTTGTACCACATATCACAGAGACCATTTGTCCAGTATCTCATTAGTCGTGTTTTTTACACGTTTCAATAATACAATAAAATTATTATACTAACGCGATGTCTTGGATAGGCAACTTAGCTACACCAAAACGCTCGTCCGCTTTCAATCCGGTGACTCATAAATCCTAATAGTCATAATCATTCTGATATTATTTTTGCTTTTTTTTCCTTATAACATACTTTACTAATAGGTACAGTATTATAATTATGACACCCTCACAACCTCAATCAACTTCCACTGACTAAGAGTACATCGGGACCGATATTCTGAACAAATCACGTAGCTATGGAAATAGGTAGTTATTATTTAACCAATATAAAACGTGTGCGTATAAGCATTCGGTGTGTACGCATGACAAATTATAATAGTAAAAATTCGTGGCGAACCTAGACCGTTTTCGTGATCAATTAATGTATTATTCATTCGCCACTGAACTTCGAATATATATCGAAACGTGTTGCATAAACGTTACACGCGTATTTCATCGTGAACAGAAACTATGCGTACGGCACTGTATAATACCGCACAATACAATTTAACCATGATTATAATTTATTAGAAGTAACCGTAAGTCAATATCGGTAGATTACTGTTTGACTGTGGATAATTTTTAATTACCTCAAATAACAATATAAGTTTATTACATTACTATAAACTTGACTTAGCTAACAACGGTTATGGCTTTATTAATAATTCCTTCCAATAACGGTGACGTTATTAGTTATTGCAAATTACAAATCATATTACATCCATACCGTGTGGAATTTTAATCGATATTCTTGCACTTTCGTTTCAAGTGGGTAGCACATTATGTTTTCATAGTGTATTTTAATGATTCTATGCTATTCATTTTATATTATACGACTAAAATAATCGAGTACTGTGTGCGTATGTAGAAATGCGTCCGGCTTTGGTCGACACTCGTTTCAAGAATATACGCTTTAAACTGGTTCGATCAATATAACATTGTCATGTTAAACGAAGAAAAAACCGTGACAACGTAATTTTTCCTTTTGATAGTGATTTTCATAGTCTGAAAAGAAAATACAGCGCCACAATACGATTTATATATTTTATAAAACCGTTTATTTATTATAGTAAATATCAAAATTTCAAACATGAACATAATGTATTAAATGGCTATATTTATTTAACAAATATGCTCGAAACTCTTAATCGTATTACCTTTATTAAAAACAACTCAACAATATCTATAAAAATTTTCTGATTCGAATGCGCGTTTTATTAAATAGTATACAAAATTGAATTTATCCAGTTTTGTACACTAACCGTATTATTTTCTTTGACAAATAATCCTAAGAAAACAAATATTAAAACCTCTTGAGTATCGTAAAACTCAATTAGCTTTTAAAATATATTTTAGAATAAAGTTTATATTTCTAAATAATTTACAGTAATAAAAACAGTTTTATAAAATAAATAATTTACTGCTTTAAACTATTTTCAACTGAATAAAATAGAAACGACTATGTTTCATGATGACGCCAATGAACTGAACATGAAATAATGTGATAAAATTATTCTGTCATTTAAATTTCAAGACTCGGTCAAAATTATTGCATATAACGTTAGACAAAAAAATAAATTATACATTTAAAAATATATCCGTGCACCGTCAATGAAAAACTAATAACAATCAATTTTAAACGAACCCTCAGAGAAATGTCACGCACTTAACAATACGTATCGTATAAATAATATAAACGAAACATAATTGTAACTACATGGACTCCACTTGAAAATAAATTACAACGTCATTATTGTTCGATCGTTTATACATCAGCCTATACATTATATTGTGTTATTATATAAAATAATATCACGCAATAAATTAGAAAAAGTTTAAAATTACGCGAGTGAATTTACAGAAATATTTTACAACCGATCGTGGGTTACCGCTAAACAAAATACCTACGAACATATTATTATATATTTATATTTGATATACGACCCGACATGCGTATCTAATGAATCTGATAATAATTATATTACATACGGTTAACAATATTTTCTTAAATGCCTTTAGCAAATCTTGTTCGACGATACACAATGTAATTTGTGGTAAGGGCCAAGGGGAAAGGATAATGCGTGATCTGATTTTACACAACGATTATGAATGTACCTACTGTAAAGTTTTTACGTAGACGTTTGAAATAACCGTATCATTAACTTACAACTGAAATTATGTACACTTAAAACAAATATATTCTTCAGTATTCGCGTTTGTTGAAATGTATTGCACGTGCCAAAGTAATTTGCGATTACACTCCATTACAGAAGTTAATTATAAAAAAAATAAATAAAAAAAACTCGTACGCAATTACAAATTCGATCAAAAACGAATTAGGTACATGGGTAGAGAGGCTAGTCGTAACCTAAATTTTCATTTTTTGAACTGATTTCCAAGTCTCATCAATAAAAAAAATAAAATAGAGCTCTATCATATATTTAAAACAACAAGTGATATTAAAAAAATAAATTTTATTGTGTGTTTGATTGCATATGTAACATTCATATTATCAAAATGTATACTTACTAAAATAATGTCTCATCTTATAAAAAAGCTCAGTTCAACATGGGATAATCCATTTAATATAGAAATATTCAGAATCATTGAAAACTTTGACGATTTTGAAAATATTGCTTTTACTGAATCTTTAGCCAATACAAAACAAAATTTTTCAAATTATATTTTCTTTATTATTTTTATTGTTTTTTTTTTTTTTTTTTTTAGGCTTATTAAATTTATATTAAATTTAATTTTTTTTAAATATTCCGATTTATAAAAAACCAAATTTACATTATAAAGCATTTTAAGTTTAGATGAGCGTACATAAAGTACTTGTTAAACATTTTATTTTTACATATTTAAATACTTCAAATAATATTTTAATTTAGAATGAAGAAGTAAAAATGCATGTCGTCAATTATAAACTTTAAAAAAAACTTTTTACTCTGGGTTGTTTTTAAAAATAATACTTAAAAATATTATCGTTATTTTTTTTATGTTGTTCTTTAAATGACTTAAAATTATGTTAAAAAAATATTTTCAAAGATGCTAATAGTTTTTAAAATAATGAGTTTTATATTAAATGGATCATTCAGTATACTCAACTTAATCTATATATTTTAATATGATCAGTGTCAAATTAAAAATTATTAGAGCTCGAGGATATTTTTTCTCATACTGACTATTATAATTTTCTATGAAATAACAAAAAAGTAACTGAAAATTGTTTTTCTACTGGTGACATTCTTTAAGTATAAAATTATTCAATAGAAATCCGACACAAATTTAATTTGTTTAGCAAACAATTACATTTTATAGTTTTACAAAATATCTTATTGTGATTATAGTGAACAAAAACAAAAAACCGCAGTTATAAAGTAAACACAGTTTTTACCACTTTACTTGGAAAATATCATCGTTAGTTAATACCTTTAATTTATTTATACTCAAAATCTTAATTTGACAATTTATTTGGTTTGTTATACAACTCAATCCACAAATATTTCGATATAAAATTAAAAGTAAAAATGTTTACTTATTGAGTTTTCTTATATTTAGATACACTCAATACTTGGTATATAATAGTACCGTTGTCTGTCACGGAAAATAGAACAAAAATTTTTAGAATCAGTTTCCTCATCTTCAATTTCACTCACGTTTTTATCCTTCAATGTTACTTTTTGTTCCGCCTTGTTACATTACATACGGACTTGATTTACGATTTATGCATCCCTTAATTTATTTTATTTAAGTTTACTTTTAAATTTAATAAAAATATCTCAAGTTAGAACTTAGAACATCTATGGCGACAATACATATATATTTATTTTTATTGATCTTATTTAAGCCTAGCAACTAAGGCCATTTGCTGTGGATAGGAACAGTAGGTTTTTGTGTAAGGTTTGTTTCTAATGTTTTTGGTTAATAGAATTGGAACACATGTGTGTATGTGTGTGCACCATGTATTCGTCACTAAGAACTCTGGTGGTCAGCCATCCGAGAGCTAGCGACCCCGGCCGATGCTTGACCTCAGAACACATTAATGACTGAGGCCAACCTCACGCTACACCAGGCCACGACAATATATTTCTTGTATACCTAATGTCTATTTACATAAGTAAAAAATCTGAATATCAATAATTAACATGATAGACGCTATATTATAATATTAACCCAAACATTTTAAATAAATTAAAAATTTATAAAACAATTTATTGGGATTCATTTAATTTTCATTCTCTGTACAATACAAGAGAGATTATATTAATTTTATAAAACATAAGCTACCCACCAAATTCATATTCGACATCAGCTCAATATTATAATTAGGTACTTTCACTTCTACGAAGTCTTAAAATTGAGCATAAAGTATTGTTTTAAATTAAAATAAGTTATTTTTATGACTTCTTTATAGTTTTATAAAATACGGTCAGAAATCGAGGAAAAATGTAATTACGTTTTGTATCAAAGTGATTATTCACTGTTAGTATTCGATATATTTTATTCTATTGTTTTTTTGTTTTTGTTTTTTTTTTTTTTTTAATACATGCATAAATATTTGTAGTATTCGAGCAAATCTTAAATTACTAATAATAACGTGTCAAAGGAATACGTACCGAAAGTATCCTATAGCACCGTTTTTTTTGAATATTTAAAATAGCTTTTTGTCCCAAACGGTTTTTTGAAGATGTTTTTGGGATTTATATTAGTTTTGGTAGTTAAACGATTACGGAATTTAAACAATATACTATAAATTATATGATATAAATTAAATTTTTTCCGATAGACCATTAAGTTATAAATTAGTTTTCAAAAATGAGATTTTTCAACGATAGTAACGAGGGGGTGGGTAAATTCGTGCAGAAAAAAACCGTCACGGCTTCGTAACACTCCTCCGTCATCAGTTGCCCCTTTCAACTCGATTATAGATCGTAGTATAATATATGTACTCGTAGATACGCATAATATTATATGTAAAAATGAATATTATATTTTATGTATGATGGTGTTTTTAATAATTTATATCTTAACTATCAATGTTATAACTGCTCTCTACTTTGAATACTTACACTTCAAAAAAAAAATTAGAAGTCCCTTTTTTTCATTTTGAGTTATTATAAATGTACCTTTGATATCGCGTTAATATATACCACATATTCGTACGCGTACAGTAAAATTACAATCTATGTAGTAAATACATAATTTATACAAAATCAGATCTAGTATAGCTACATAAGTACATTAGGTACATAGACAATAGTGGGTGTAATAATAATCACTATAATGACCTAGAGTTATAATGTAAACACGATTTTTTTTTTTTTTTTTTAATTAGAATTAAAACAATTCTGATAAAATGTAGGTGTTTCATAATATTTCGATTGATAAAATCTATTTATTGTCTACTTTTGTATATTTTCACAAAATAACATAAATATTTGCATAATATATTACAATGTTTTATTATACCGCATGAAAACTTAAGAAAATAGTTACGCTATGCAGTTTTTAAAATTATAAAAGCGTGTTCCATGACAACCACTGATGTTTCAAACTTGAAAACATAAAATCCCCTTTTTAAATTACACCAGTTCTTACTTTAAAGTCAAAATATAATGTAACGGTTGTATTTTTTGTATTACGTCATAATTGATTGTCTCATTACATTAAATTAAAGTGTTACATATTTAAGCTTTACTAAACTCATGACCACTGAAATATTTAAATCACGCGACAATTACATTTTTTTCGTTACGAAACAATCAATAATAATTGTAAACATTAAATGTCTACTATAATGGTGCCTATTATTTCGATAAAGGTTACGAAAACAAAATTAAAGTTCATAGTTTTTTTATATTTCATAATTATCTACGTAATGTTTCTCCACATTTTTCTTACAAAAATGTTGGCATTTATTTAAATTGATTTTCGCTCACAAACCCAGACCCCCGCCAATACCGATAACAAATTATAATAAAAATACCGACTTTGACAGGTGAACACCCGGCGGCCATGCAACATGGCAACAGCAGCAACAGCGCCGTGACCAGGCTGCTGCCAATTTTCCTGTTGTTCGTGTGTCATTCCATTCAGGTGCTGTTGGTCACTGACCAATGTTTGTACGTGCCGTCTCGCGTCGTCAAACTGGCAAGATGAACGGCTACGCGCAAACACGATTGAAATCATTATTAAAACAATATCATAACTAATCTATGTCGTGTACGCGTGCGTGTTTATACAACGACAATAGTATTTAAGAATGTATAAAATATAAAATGAATTTGTACAATATATTTTTTTTTCTTGTTGGACTTTAGCCCGGCGACTAGGGCCATTAGTTTTTTAGGAGTTATGAACTGTGGTAGGGGTAAGAGATTGATACAGTAGGTTGTTTTTACGACTGTTACGGTTGATAATAAACACGTGTATGTGTGTCGAGGTTTTTAACCACTATGAACCCGGGCGGTCACCCATCCAAGAGCTAGTAGCTGTGGCCGTTACTTAACGTTAGCCAACGCGTCACGCCAAGCCACAAGTGTATAATAATATTATTACGATCATCGCTGTAAAGAAAAAAATCGCAGTCGCCAGCGCCACTACACAGTAAGACATAATATGCTAATAATTGTATGCGGGTACGTTCGACATTATGATGTATTGTACTGCGCGTCGAGTGAATTCTTTGGTTTTCATTTTTTTCTACACTATAATAATAATTTTATTGTTACATATTATTAACTAATGTTATTATTGTTATTGCGTAAGCTTGCTAGAGACGTATTGTCACACGGTTTGTACTCGGACGGCGTTTTACTGTTTAACGTTCGTGTCGACGGTTTAAATGATGCGATAAACGAGAGACAGGGACAGAGATATAATGATAAAATATATTACTAATTCTATATTATTACTGTTGCAGACGTAAGACGCGTTCGGGTGGTGGGTGGTCGCATTTTTCGTGGCAGTGGTTTTTGGCATGTCGAAAATACTTTTGTTTTTTGTTTATAACATAAACACACTCATTATAAATTATTATAATATATAAATTATTACTAATGTAACTATTATGATATAAGATAACGGAAACAAATGCGTGCTTGTAAATATTTATACCTACCTATTGATGTTTGGATGTTTGTTTCCCGTATTGTTCCTTGCCGCTTGAATTTTTCACTCGTACGAAAATAATATATATTATTATATACCATGATTTATGATCTAAACGTGTTTCTATCATTATATAATATTATTGTAAGCTGTAATATCAAAATTATTATTATTGCCAATCTATTGATGTTGTATAGTTTTGTTTTGCGTCTGTGACCTGTGTATAAAAGTTTCCTATATCATAGCTGTTCGTTTTCTCATTATTGTGTACAATGCTGGATACTATATATTACATTTACAATATTAATATATTATAATATGTTTGTGTATTATTATCGATTTCGTTATTTTATTAAAACCAATCGTTTATATGTGATGTCGGGAGTTTAATTTAGATTATTAAAATTTTAATGAAAATTATTGATAATAATAATAATAGTGTTTAATTTATTTATCGTTTTTTTGTTGTGTTAATCACTTCCGACCTGTATAGTGTCGTTGTAACGTGTAAATATAATATTATAATTTATAACATAATAATAATAAATAATACTATCATCACCGTTTTGTATATAAGAAATAATATCAGTAATCACAATCAGTATGTTATGTTTTTATTTTTGTCTTAATTAAATTATAATTAAATGTAATAAACGTATAATTAAAAATCTGAATTTAATAGAGATATTTATTAATCAAATCATCTTGGAAAATATCATCCAGAACTTGTGTCTACCGCATCATAGAATAATTAAACACGAAACACGATCGTTCATTATTCATGTCGTCGTGACCACCAACCACTTACATACAGAATACAGCATTTATAATACAATTGGATTTGTCAGGTATATTACCATAAAATTAATTTAGTTTTACATAATTGATTTTTAAATCATTTAAAATATGATAATATTATTTTGTTTCTAAAATATTGAGCAAAATTCTTGCCACTAAATATACCACGAATAATTAGGTATCTAACAAGAATAATATTATATCACTGGAATTTAATTTGTGTAAATTATAACCATGTTAAAAAATATTAAAACCTTGGTTTATTTATTTAAATTTAGACAATAGAATACCCAATTATAATAAAATAAACGTTCACAGTATTAGCAAAATTTGTTTTAAAAATAATGAATTTAGTCCAAAATAGAGTTAGTAATAAAACGCTAACAAAGATTATTAAAATTTAAACAATTCGTTCTCATGGTTATTTATGTTGCATTACATTATAGTTGCAAAATCTTGAATATAAACTACTCATTTCTTATTTAAAGATTAAAGATAGATAACAAAAACTCACATAAAATAGTATATAAATTATGACTCAGAATACATTTTTTATAGAGCCATTATTATTTTTTTTTTACGATTTTACATTTTTTATACTTAGAATTAATTATACGTGTACATAATATCATATAATATTAATACTAAGTATTTTAGTTATAAGTTTATGATGGAGATTGATAATATATACGATATGAAAAAAAATAATATGATATAGGAACCTAGTAACGACACGGTTCTACAATAAAAAATTATGAATAATATTCTCAAAATAAAAGGATAATGTATGTGTGTGTGTATAATATATAGAAACAGATGATAAAAAAAAAAAAAAAAACTAAAATACACCTAAGAAGAATTTTTGCAATCTCTATTAATATATTATAAAGATCGTAAAAGATAGATACTCGAACTCAGGAGATAAGGACAATACAGTGAGTCGATGAATTTTGTTGGTAGGACACACTACCACGTACGACCATTATAAGTATGTAGTTATAGCATTGGTGTTATACTATAAACTTAAATTTATAAGCAACATGATTTTCACTCGATAAATATGGTTATGAGGTGGAATATATTTTTCTTGCTGTAGTAGTTACTAGTTAAGTATCAAAGTAAGTTTAGTACAGATAAACCGTAAATTCAAATAAATACGTGAATGTACGTTTTGTCATTCTTATTTCGTTATTTTTACAATGATAATAATCTTATACTTTGTTATTCAAATCAAAATATGTTTAATATTCATTTTTAATTATAGAAAAACAAACATAAATTACACATAAATAAGATGGTTATAACTTTTTCAGGTATACTTATTAAACGGATATTTAAAAGAAAAGTGATATAATTTTTAGAACAAAAAACAAAGTGATAAAAATTTAATGTTGTAATAAACTAAGTGTCTACCTACACCGATATGAATAACTTTTTTTTTAAACTTTCGTAGAAAATACCTTACTCTTTAATTAACTAATTCTATATTAATATTTATAAGTTATAACTTAATAATAAATAAATAAAAAAAAAGTAATTATTTCATTTTCACTATTTATTATTCTAAAAAAATAAATAAATAATAACCTTTTACATGTATTTATAAAATAAATTTTATTAGAAATAATATTAAAAGTAAAAATTTAAAACCAATCTATACAGGTTTTTTTTTTCATGAAGTGTAATAAATAAAATTAAACATTTTTGTTTAACCAATCCAGATTGTTATTTTTAATAACTTTATATCAAAAATGTAAAATAAAATACTAAAATTATAGAATCAAAAAGTAAGATATTGTGCAAGAATTAAGAAAGTATTATTGAGCAAAAATAACGATTGATAAGAACTAGGTATTCAAAGCGTTGAAAAAAAAAATGAAATAAAATAACAAAACAATGATAATTACTTTTATTCTTAACAAACGATAATAATATTAATAGCCAGTAAAATTCTATAACGAATACATTTTCCTTTTTCATTTGTACAACTTTTATGCCCATATTAAATAACTTAGCTACATATTTATTTTTATCATTAATGTATTACATTTTTTACGATTTTTCATTTACCTTGTAAATATGTAATACATTTTTGAGGTAAATCGTGCTTGTGTAATTATGAAAATTAATTGATAATTAGTTAATTAATATATTATTATAAACCTCAGTTTATATATATATATATATATATATATATATATATATTTATGTTATCTATATCAGTAAAATATGTTAACTCAAGGTTAAATAAATATTATTCTTAGCAATAAACATGGTGTTCTTTGAGAATTTACTAATTTAAAATGAAAGAGTCATGGGGATATTGTAAAATAAAAATTTTCCTGATGTTTAACTTAATGTGATGACTAATATTACTCAATGCAATAGTTTATCCCTTTAGCCCCATAATATTATATTCAAAGTGTTCTAGATTCTAGAATCTAGATGAATCAATTTTTCATTTAAACAACAACATGATGAACCGTCGATCAATTAATTAAAACTAATACAAGCACGTTAAAAAGTTCTTTACTCTCAAAATAAAAAATAATTTTTCTAACATAATAGTAATTATTTTATAGACGACTCGGCAATACTCTCCATGTAAGAAGTATTTTGCTACTCTGTGATCGTAAATCATACGACTTTTTTTAATGTATAAAACGTTACCCGTTACCATGTCTATAATGTTTATAAAAGATGTACTGAAGGTCCGTTGATAAAAACAAACCATGATACATATTAATAATTATAATATCACTATACGATATATGTATATCATTGGAATCGGTGTTGATACAGTAGTCAGAAATTATTGCAAACTGCAAGCATCATTTAATTTTTGGATTTATTTCGAAGTGATTATATATTAATACGTTATTAATTACGCTATAATATAGTATTGCAATCAAATATGATTTTTATCGAAGCGATTTAATTTTTTTTTCTAATTATAACAAATATTTTTTCCATTATTAGAAAAAGATTTTTTTTTTTTTTTTAACATCTAATCATTATAAAATTAGATAACTGAAGAGTTTCGTACAACAAAAGACTGTTGAATACAAATATATCAATTAAAAATGTTAATTGTTTTTCGAAAACTTTATAATACGAGAATTATTAACAACGAGTAATTAGATACACTGAAACAACTATTAATTTAATGTAATTCAGAAACTATCTGTACAATAATCGTCACGTCCATTTAATTTATAGACATTTAACGACAAGTCGTTTTATTAGAAATTTTAGTCACGTTTATACCTACTGCACAATAAAAACTATTTATATTAAAAAAAATCAACAAACTATGATAATATCTTTAATAATACATTTAATGTCATTCAAAGCAATGTGCAACATATTATGTCGTCGTGAAAACGAGTAAATTTGACAGTAACCATTATTAGTGGTACAAAAACTTAATGTTGTTGTAGTTCACGTATTGGATTTTTAGATAAAAATGTATAGTGATTCCTGTACATGATACATCCCTAAAAATAATTTTTGATACACGACATTATATCATAAATCTGGTATGTTTATGAGTATTCGATATTGTTTGTTTTTCTATCAAAATATACTTGTTTTATTTCTAAGATATAAACTATTCAAGCCATTGAATATAACATCTGAAAACATATTTAAATTTAACATAACTTTCGTAAAATTTACTAGAAAATAACTTTTTCTACCTTTATAAAACTGATCTCTTAAACTTTTCAAAATTAGATTTTAAAATGTTAATTTTATTGAAGTAAAAAAATGAATATAAAATTGTAATGAATTTACTGTCAATAATTTTTAATAAAAAAAAAATATTTATTAATATTTAACAGAGTCATTATACATAGTCACACACACACATACACACACGCGCACACACATTCATAGAAGATCGCCCATATTTAACTCTTTAATAACAGTTAGTATCGAATCACTCTAATAATAATGTTTAATTTTGAAATATTTGGTGATAGCAAAACAAATGATATTTTATCAATAAAGTGATAGACCACAATTTGAACATTATTGAAATACGAATTATTTACAAAAAACTGCAGGCATTTAAACATTAAAATCAACGAAAAGCCCACGCTGAGGTATTAAAAGTTAAAAAAAAAATGCTTGGAGCTTAAATGGAAAACATAAATAAAACAACAAACGGTTAGTTGTTTACCCATTTCTTCACTCCACTAATAACTATACTAATAAGCAAAATCTATAAAATCAAGCTATATACATACTAAAATAAAACGTTTGGGACTAAAGCCAAAAAAGTATCACAGTATCGTTTTTGTTCTCAATATTAATTGATTAATTAAATAAACTCGAGTAAAGCTTTTAAAAACTATTCTATTTATAAAAAGTAATGTGCATGTAGAATATAATACCACTACAAAATAATGTATAATATATTATAATAATATACATTTTTATATATTTTAACACGGCGTATTAGTTATGTAATTTTAATACAGTAAGTTTGCCTTCTGCAAATTACTGATCTATTTTATTGTAATATCTAAACATCGATTTACTACAGATAAATAGTTAAAGTATAACGGAAAAACCCATATTCCATAATACCAAACTATTTACATATACTAGCACAATTATTCATAGTGCAATTTTAGTTTT